ATTCGGTTCCACTGGATCTTACAATCTTTCTGACTGTTCTTCTGCATAGCTGCCATATCCTCCTTGAGGGGAGAGGTTTGAGGAAGACATCTGACTTAGAATTGAGAGTGTCAAGATGTCTCACTGTCTGTAAATTGCCCCGTTGTGGATCTCTGTATTAGTTACTGTCTCCTGCAAGAGGATGACCTCTTAGGATGGCTCAGTGAGGTGCTGATCTATGGATTTAGCAGCATGTCATTTAGAGTCATTTTGTTTATAAGTTCTGTTAGCAGAAGAATACTATTCTGTTATCCAATCTCAGGATCTTGGCTACCCAAGTATTGTTGGGTATGGATTCTATCTCATGGAGTGGGCCTTAAATCCAGGCAAATAGTGGTTAGTTACTCTCACAAATCTAGTGCCACTATTGAACTAGTGTATCTTGAAGGCAGGACAGCACTGTAGATTAAACATTTGTAGCTGGATTAGTGGTTAACTTTCTCTTCTGGTAGTGTACAGTCTACCTTTCAGTATTATGGACACTACTCAGTAGAGGTGAAGGCTCTTGGTAGTCACCAGCTCAACTTCTACATCCTAAATGAAATATGTAAATATGGTCTTTAGGAACAGGGGTTTACCATCCATTTGTAGAAAGGAACTAATGACCTTGTCAATTGCCTACTTGAGGGTTTCCATGGGGCAACTTTGTCTAACAACTGAATTAGATATGACCCATTTCTGGCACTGGCTATTTTACTTGACCATGAGAGATGTCTTGTGACTTTGTCTTCATTATTTGTTGATTAAAGTTAGACTGATTTTATACACACTCACATATTAAGAAGGTTCTACTGCAATAGGCTTATGTATATATGACCTCTCAAATGGCCCATGGTGTTAACAGTTTATCCCTATATTCTCTCCTTTACTCTCCCTTCATTTAATTATCTTATTCTTTCTATTCCCTCTCTCCATAACTGTATATTCTAATTAATCTTACAGTCTCAGTAGTCTCTCACTCTATCACTCTATACCCAGATTCAGTGGTTATACAGATTTACCATACCCATTGAAAGCTTTAAAGCTAACATCCACTTATTAGAGAATACATACCACACTTGTCTTCCAGATTTCAAATTGTACTACACAGACATACGATAAAAATTAATAATGTTGTCATGAAAACAGATACATAGATCAGTGGGATAGAGTTGAATATCTACATATAAGCCTAGTCTATTACAATAAAAGGATTTTTTTGTCATAGACCAAAAATTGGAGAAAATATAGTACCTTCAACAAATGGTGTTGGCACAATAGAATAGCCATGTGCAGAAAAAAATGAATCTAGCACTCTTCATCTAATTCTTCACAAAACTTAAATACAAATGGATCAATGGCCTCAACAAAAGACCTGACACCTTAAAGACAATAGAGAAGAAAGTGCAGAATAGACTTGAACAGTCTCTTAGTTAGTTTCTGTGACAAATGCATAAAACACAAAGCTATTTTTTGCCAGTTTGAGAAGAGAAAATGAATAATTCTTTTCTACTAACCTTCGTATTTGGCATAATTTTAACATAGTTTTAGATTTTATATATATTCAAAAACTTCACACATGTATACAATTAAACATAAACTTTTCTACATTCATTCCTCTCTTCAAATTCCTCCAGTATCAACTGTCATATGCCCTTCCTAGCATGACAAATCTCTTCCTTTTTGATAATCAGCTAAATTCATATACACATGTTATCCATAGGCACCTGTATATGGTGCCAGCTACTGGAGCATCTACTGCTGGTAATCTTCTAGTGGCCAGATCCTTAGTAAAGAATGTTTCTTTTTCATCCCCCAGGATCTTCAAGGGTGAATACCTCTTCAATATGACAGGGGCCTGGAAATGATCTTCTACATTCAGTCCAGATTTTGTCTTTGTTTATCTTTTGCAGTAACTATAGTTATTGTGAGTTCATGGAGATAATAGCTACATCATGTCCACAAGACATTTTCGAGTACTCCTTCCTATTCCGTGGCTATTACATTTTCCTCCTTCTCTTCCATATTGTTTTCTGAGCAATGGTGTAGGGGAAACATAATTGTCCCTTGTAGGGTTGATCACTTACACTCTCATCCTTAGCACTCTTGACTTTGATCTAATTTCAGATGAACACAAATAAGATAGAACAGAAGGTTCCATCATATCACTTACATGGATTCACTTGATTCTGCTATAATACTTTATGCTGTATTCAGTAGTCAAGATAATGACGAGAACCAGCATATGCTTATGCAATCTAAATAACAGATTTTATTTGTATTTAACTTAAAGTGCAACCACTATTTTTTTTTACTGTCAAAAGATTCAATTCAGAATAGACCTTGTGTTAGGTCAGTTATCTTCTCATTAATTTGAAATTGTATCCCTTGTAATAATAAAACATTATCCTGCTATACACTTCAGTGACTGTTTTAAAACAAATTTTAGAAATTGCTTTATTGAAAATATAATGACACTTATTTTGCTTAACGTTAATATCTTTTTTTTAGCATATATGGTGCTATAAATAGTTAACAATTTTCTCCGTCTTACAACTTTAACTCAGTCATTTGAATTTTCTTGTTAACAGAACATAGGAAAAACTTTAGGAAAAACTTCGATGTATTCACATCAACTTAAACATTTCCTCAACTCCACAAAACCAGGGTGCATTAATATCAATAGGTTTCTGCGAACATAATTCAATCTCATAGCTCCTCCTTTTCTTTATAA